ATGGGGATACAAAGGAAATGTTACTAAGAGAAACATCTACTAACTAACAATTCTCAGACACAGCTCTTTTTTCTCCATTAATATAGAGTGGGAATTTCATCTAAGGAAAGAGAAAGCCATAGCTGAGGATTGGTTTGTACATAACTGTAATGCAAAAAATATAAAAACAAAAAACAAAAAAATGAAACAAATCCGCTTTACATTGTGTAGTGACATGGTGAACAAGTAAGTCTCAAAGGGAAATTAATCAAAAAATAAGGAAAATAATCCAAATAGTTTATCATGACATTTGTTACAAGAGATGATAGGGTTAGTTGATGATTCAATTCTATGTCTATGTACCTTGTTTAAGTTGAATATAAGCAGATATGAATAATCTATTTAAGTTTTATTGCTCTTTAATGATAGATTTCAATATAGAAAACATACCCTATGTTCTCTATATAGAGAATTTACACTGTGTTCTTTTAATTAGCAGTAGTTTAATAGTGATATAAAACTTGGTTCATTTTTTTCCATTAGAGAAAAGGTCAATAATGCAAAATGACATCTGCCCAGTAGCTGTTGATGCTGCTTCTGACAACTACACGTAAATTAATGCATCAAGCATAAGAAAAGAATGAAAATTTAATAATCTATCAAAATTGAAGACTGACAGGCAACCAACTATAAAAATTTGGAACAATTTCCACCGGTTATGACTTTGATGGACAGGGCTTCTGTAGTCTTGATGTTCCAATTATGAAAATGTGAAAGAATTGAAAGTTCAGTGGTTAAGAATAGAGACTCAATTGAGGATGAGGTTTCCTGTGATATTTTAATTTAATTTCCTTCCCTCTGTGGTATCATTCTTCATATTATCTGTTTACCATTGCTGAGAGTTGAGTGTTATGGAGCTCTATATGAATAGACTCATAGGATATTTATTCTTTCATGTCTGCTTTTTTTCTCAATGTGTATTTGACATTTATTCATGCTGATTCATGAGTTAGCTCTATTTTCTTATCATTGTGATGAGTATGCTATTATAATATTTGATTTCTCATTATTAATCATTGCTTCTTTGGAATTCTTCAGTTATCAGGTCTTGTAAATAAAACTACTTTATATTCATGCACACAACTTTGGACAGTCATGTTTTTGTTTTTATTGATTACTGAGACTTGAAACCTCTAGATTATTTAAGTGTATGTTTAAGTTTATTAAAAAGTAAAACTCATGATTTATTTTCTAAAGGCTCTAAACTATTGTGTGTTTTTGTAGACATTATGTGAGTTTTCTCGTCACTTGACATAAATGTCTTCTCAACATTTTTCAGCATTTTGAAAGAGTATTTAAAAATTCAAATGAGGTATTAGCCTGGCGCTGGTGGCTCATGCCTGTAATCCTAGCTACTCAGGAGGCTGAGATCTGAGTATCGAGGTTCAAAGCCAGCCGGGACAGGAGAGACCATGAGACTCCTATCTCCAATAAACCACCAGAAAACCGGAAGTGGCACTGTAGCTCACGTGGTAGAGCGCTCTCCTTGAGCTGAAGAGCTGGGGGACAGCGCCCAGGCCCAGAGTTCAAGCCCCACAACCGACAAAAAAAAAAATGAGGTATTAATTCATCTTTCCAACACAGTGTCTAGTGAGTATTACTGCTGAATTGGTTCACCTTTTGTCCCACTGTTTCTGTGCTTTCCCTTTCACTCCCCAAATCAGATAAACTTGCATACAAGACAAAGGGTACCGAAACTAAAAACAATGAAAAAAGGGGAAAAAGGAAGAAAAAAAGAACTACAAACAGTAAAATAAAAAGTCTCTTGTTTCCATTTTTTGGAGTTCATTTCAGTAAGCAGCATTTTATATGAACATGTGCCCATAGCTATTGAGCAATTGTGATCTGCTCCTAAGAATAACCTTCTCACTGCTTGAGTATTTAGAGTCCTCAAAAAGTTAACCTCCCAAAAAACAAATCCTCAAAGAAACAAAAATTCAATTAAAAAATGGACGAGCGACTTAAAGTTAGACTTCTGTGAAGAAGAAATAGAATGACCCATAGACACAAGACGAGATTCTCAACCCCGCTGGCCATAACATAAATGCAAATCAAGACAACATTGATTCCACCTCACCCCATTTAAATGGTCATTATCAAGAAAACTAGCAATAACAGATTCTGGTGACAATGTGGCCAAAAAGGAATGCTACTACACTTTTGTGGGAATGTAAACTTGTTCAACCACTCTGGAAAGCAGTATGGAGGTTTCTCAAAAGACTAAATATAGAGCTTCCCTATGACCCAGCAATCTCACTCCTGGGCATTTATCCAGCTGACCACAAACCAGGCCACACTAAAGTTACTAGCACAGCCATGGTCATTGCAGCATTGTTTAACATAGCCAAGACATGGAATCAGTGCCCCTCAGTGGACAAATAGATCAAGAAAATGTGGTATATCTACATAGTGTAATTGTATATTTTCATCAGAAAGAATGGCATTGCTCAATTCAAAAGGAAGTGGAAATATGGGACAATTAAGTGAAGAAAGCCAGACCCAAAGAAACAGACTTCATGGTTTCCTACATGTGTAATACTTAAAATGTGTCTATAAATCTACAAGTAAACCCAATGGATGGTATAAGAGACAAAAAAAATTGGACTTAGACATGATTAATTAACCAACTTTTTTTGTTAATGTGTGTGATTTTCCCAGGTTTTGAACTCATGGCCTGGGTGTTGTTCCTGAGCTTTTGTGTTCTAGGTTAGTGTTCTACCAGTTGAATCATTGGTTTTCTTTTGTCTTTGTGGTGGTAAATTGGAGTTTGTATTTTCAGGGATTTTATAACTGGGCTGGCTTCAAATCATGATCCTCAGATCTCAGTCTCCTGGTTAGTTAGGACAGGCATGAGATACCAGCTCCCAACTGAGTACAATAAAGTTTGATAAATTCCATCACTTCCATCCTTCTCCTCCATCTTTTCCAATCTTATCCACACATTTATTTTTTCTACATAGTACTTTTCAAAGACTGGAAGATTTTTATATTGTTTTTTTTATTTCCCCACTGCACATTTTATTTTTTTTAATTTATTTTTATTGTGAAAATACTATACAGAGGGGTTACAATTACATGGGCAAGATAATGAGTACATTTCTTATCAAGCATTGTAGCCTCCTCCTTTGTTTCCCTTTCCCATCCCTTCCCATCCTCCCCCTCCGTGCCCCCCAATCCTCTCCCCCCACCACCAAAGTTGTAAAGTTCGTTTTTGACATGACAACTTATACTTCTCATTGTTGCAACGGGTCAACCTGTATCCTTATTTAAACGACTTGTTTTTCTCCTTGCAACAGGTCCACCTGTATCCTTATTTAAACGACTTGTTTTTCTCCTTCCCCTCCACAAATTATACCAACATCAAATACAGTGAAAGCAGGGGTTATAATGTGGGGGAGGGACATACAAAGCAACAAAGAAATAATCTTATAAATGCATTCGAAACAAATGCATGAAAGAAAAAAAACATTTAAATACATATCTTAGGGTTCATTTTCCTAACATCACCTTATCTGACCTTTTCTGCTTGACTCATACATATACTAGATATTGCAAAGAAGGGAAACCATGGGACCTATGTTTCTTTGGGCTTGGCTTACTTAATATAATTTTTATATTGATGCAATGTTCTTTTGAGTCATATTTTTGGTTAATTGGCTTATAAATATTTGCTAACCTCAGTGTTTGTGAAGGTTTTCAAGGAATGACTTTTAGACCATACATACAAGGTTTTTTTTTGTTTTGTTTTGTTTTGTCAGTCATGGGGCCTGAACTCTGGGCCTGTGTGCTGTTCCTCAGCTCTTCAGTGCCAGGCAAGTGTTCTACCACTTGAACCACCTCCCCAGCCCCAAATTTCTGATGCATTTAATCAAAGTCGTTGAATGTGAATTCTGTGATAAGTATTGAGGCTTATTTGTTATGGAATGGATGGCTAAGTCCTAGCACAGCCAAAACTATTTTGCTAAAGCAGAATAGAGATGGGAAACTAAAATTGGTATTCTGTGAGGTGGAATTACAACAAATATAATTGCTCTGTTTTGGTTTCTGGTTTTCCTTCGATAAATAGTTCTCAATTAACTTCTTTTTCTTTCTTTTTTTTGTGGGTACCAATGTTTCAACTCAGGGTCCTGCTGTTTACTTGGCTTACTTGCTCACAGATGGCATTCTACAATATGACTGATACCTACACCGGGCTATTTACTGATTAATAGGAGAGGCATAGGCTCATGGAATTTTCTGGAAGGCTTAAAATTGTGAATCTTGATATCTTAGCCTCCTGAGTAGCTAGGATTATAGACATGAGTTACTGGGTTTAGCTATATTTTAGTTTATTTCTAAAAAGATAGGTATTCATTGTCTTGTCATTTATTTAGATTTTTATTAAAGCAATGATTTTGTCTTACATATATCATATATTTTCAGTTATTTTATGACATATATTAGTAATTTATCCTTTTATCACTGAAGGATTATTGATTACAGAAGAATGGTTACATCATCATGTAGTCAATTGTAGACATTTCCATTATTTAGTTTTATTCTATTAAAATGTATGGTAAGATCTTTTTTTTTTTATAACTAAACAACATTTATTTACTTTGCACTAAGACTTTATCTGAGTACATAACTAAATTGTTTCCACCCCACCCCATCTTGAAGGGTTAGTTTGTGAATGTTATAAAGTAGATAGGAACAGTTTGAAGGACTGGAACCAACATTAACTGACAATGAACAACTTCCATCTAAATCATCATAAAAATGTTTAAGTAAAAAAAAGAAAAAGAAAAAAAAAGATACAATGAGGGCCTTCAATAGAAAGATCCTCATTTCATCTAATACATTCGCTCTTGGCTAGACTGTAACAAAATGGAAACAGCATTACTGTTAATACAAACTCCCACTATAGCATATTGTACACACCTTTGTTCCAAGCCCACCCCCTGTGCCCTAATGCTTCCAACACAATTATTTCCCAGCCTGTTGGGCCTGCCGACGAAGGAGTACTTAGATCTTCTCTTTGATCCAGTCTTTGTTATAAGGCTGGTATGTCTGGGTATCAGCTCGGTAAACAAGGCAGCTGAGATCTGCCAGATCGTCGATAAAATCAAACAATTGACTGATATCATACGTGATCGAGGGGCTATTGGGATTCATTCTCTTCAGATGTTCTTCATACATTTTACAAACACCTTCCATGCATTCATTCACAGATTCATAGTCAGCGTAAGTTCTGCCTTCTGGCCTCTTGGTAGGCTGCACCAGCAAAATGGTGTGAGACATCGCGCTAAAGGCTTTGCTGCTGCCGCTGCTGCCGCCGCCGCTGCCGCCAACACCGCCGCCGCACATGAGCTCAGCTACAACGCCGCCAACAGCCAATCCCCCTATGGTAAGATCTTTATATTGACATACATTTTCAATTCTCTTGGGTAAAATCAAAAGGGAAGAGGCCTAGTGTAGATTCATGTTGAACCTATAAGAAAACACAACAGTTCTGTAATGCTTTATACTTCTTGTGACAATGTGAGTGATACCAAATAACTTTAGAGTATCACCAACCATGGTAATGTCAGACTTCTTAGAAAATCTTTCTGATGGGTAGCTAATAAAACCTTCCAATCTTTCCTTTGAATTTTTGAAATGAATAAAAATGCTAAACATATATTACTTCATTTATTCAATATATTACAAAATGTATTTCACATATTTATTCCTTACATCTTCTAAGAATAATTCTAATATTTTTATGTAAATGGATGTGTTTAAAATACTAATCTTTATCTTTTCTAAGTATGTGTAAATTACTTACTTTATTGGATTTGTTACATTTCTATTGGTGAATATCATAGATTTTTTTCCTGGAGTTTGAAAAAAAATTATCACGTTTTTCCAGAAAGTATTCTTTCCTTAAAAATACAGCTAGTATTTCACAATAAATTATGCATATTATGAAGGGAAGGATTTTTTTGCATGGTGGAATTTAATTTACTAATTTTGGTTTAATTTTATTACTTTAGATATTTGGATTTATCAAGTAAATCTTCATTCAAATTAAGTACTTTTTCCAATTATACTCACTTTCCTCAAATATTTTTTCTAACAATTTATTGGTTTATGCTCTCAAAGTCTGTGAACATTTATGATTTATTTTGTTTATACTCAGTAGAGGTCTAAGTTACTTATTTATTTCATATGAGCATCCAACCTTATTAAGATTACTATTTTCTCATTACAGAGCTAACATTCTTACTTATACCTCAGATCCTACTTATTGCTTTGAGAATATTTATAGTCATGCATTTTATTCTTAGCTGTTTTTCAGGATGCTAAACTTTTGTCCCATAATCTATAAAAGTGGTAATAATTTATGCATTCCATCTCTGATCCTTATGACCTCACCTCTCTGAAATGAATTCACAGGATTTATTTATTTCTCACTGTTCAGGTGGGAACAATATTGTCTTGTGCTTTCTTCCAAACAGAAGCCAAAAAGTGAATCTGGAAACTTTGTAATGAGTGAGTCTTCACATACTGTTATATGCATGCCTTTCCACATGGGAATGCAATGACTGGCATACTTTTCTATTTGATATTGTCCAGTAAGACTGAGTTCCAATTCATATTTAAACTCTTCTACTGTCCTTGTTTCTATGTGGATATTTTTCATTACTAATGACTTCAATTTCATTTCTGAGCGGAAATGTCTGTGGTTTCTAATTTACTGTTTTATCTAGTTCAATATCTAATTTGACTGTTGTGTTTTCTATGTCTAAAATATTACAGAGAAATTTTTATGCTTTTCCTTACATTTCTTCATTTTATCTTAAATCTTTTTTTAAAGTCTTCATTGGGATTAAATAATCACAGTATTGTAGCATAGTTATACTTAGCTAAAGTCACAAATACATTGTAACCTTCACAATGCAAATTGTCATTATCTTGATCCACAAAGCTTATGAACTCTACAAACTTTAAGAAATAAAACTATTTCTTCCCAATCATGTGATTTGTGCATTCCTTTCCTTTTGTTTAGTGTAAGCTGTTCCTCCTTTCTCTCTCATTCCCTCCCTCCCATTTGCACCCTTGAGTTGCTTAGTTCACTTCCATCAATGTCAATGCAATGGATGGACCCGTCTGCTGTATTTTTCCACGTTTCCCTCCAATTCTGTACCCTGCTCATAGCTTACCTCAGCTGTGCACATTTATACACTATATAGGCGGTTAAGAACATAGTCATCTAGAAACTATTTGACAAATTAAGAAGAGGTCTTTTGTTTCTTGAGTCTTGTTTACTTTGTCCTATCTTTTTGCATTTTGAATCTAACGTCCGCATATCAGGGAGAACATGCTCCGTTTGTCTCTCTGATCTTGGCTTATCTGGCTCAACATGTTAACATGGTTTGTTGGGTTTGTTGCAGTTCCGTCCATTTCCCTGTGAATGCCATTATTTTGTTCTCCTTTTTTTTTTTTTTTTTTGGTCATGGGCATTAAACTCTGGGCCTGTGCGCTCTCCCTCAGCTCTTCAGCTCAAGGATAGAGCCACATTGCCACTTCCAGTTTTCTGGTGGTTTATTGGAGAGTATGGTTTCACTTCTTTCCTGCCAGGGCTGTCTTTGAACTGCAATCTTCAGAACTCAGCAGCCTCCTGATTAGCTAAGATTACAAGTGTGAGCCACCAGCGCCCTGCTATTTTAACCTTTCTAATGGCTATGTCATATTCCATTGTGTATAGGTACTATAATTTTTGGATCCATTCATTTGTGGTGGAGCACTTGAGTTGTTTCCATATCTTGGCTATTGTGAGCAGATGCATGTGTCCTTGTTCTATCCTGGTTCCTGTAGCTTGAGGTAGATGCCTATAAGTGCTATGGCTGGGTGGTAGGGAAGGTCTAGGTAGGTTTAGGGTAGGTTTAGGTTTCTGAGGAACCTCCAGACTGTTTTTCAGAGTGGTTGCACTAGTTTACATTCCCACTTGCAGTGCATTAGGGTTCCTCTTTCTCCACATCCCTGCCAGCATTTGTCATTGGCTGAATTTAGGTTCTAGGCCATTCTGAGTGGGTAAGGTGGTATCTCAGTGTTGTTTTTATTTGCATTTCCTTTGCAGGGATGACGAACATTTCCTGGTGTATTTTTTTGCAATTTTTACCTCTTCTTCTGAGAAGTCTCAGTTTAGTTCACTGGACCATTTAGTGATTGGTTTGTTAGATTTGGGAAGGATTAATTTCTTGAGCTCCTTGTACATAATGGATATTAGGCCTTTGTCCAATATATTGCTGGTAAATATCTTTTCCCAATTGGATGGCTGTCTTTCTAGTTTGGTAGCTATGTCGTTAGCAGTACAGATACTTTTTATTTTAAGTAGTCCCATTTGTCAAGTTTCCAATCTGTTGTGCCCGGGGGAATCTGTTCAGAAAGTTCCTGCTTGTCCCTATAAGTTCTGGTGTCTCTCCTACTCTGTTCTGCCGTTGTTTCAGAGTTTCAGGTTTGATGTTGAGGTCTTTAATCCATTTTTAGTTTATCTAAAGTCTTTAAATTTATGTTAATTTTTAGGCCCCTTTCTCCCTACTTCTATTGTACTGTCAATTTGGGGTCAAAATTCTTTAATTGTGAATAATTAAAATTAAATTTAAAAATTGCTCGATAGAAAGTAGACTCATCACCTTGCTCATGTAATTTTAACCCCTCTGTACAGTATCTGAACAATAAGTAGCTTTTGATTTCTCTCCTTGTGTCTCTCTCTATATGTCTATGGTTCAAATTAACTACACTACTGTGGTGTTAATTTCCTATCGACTGCAAAATTATGTGCTTAAATTATGAAGAAAAAGATTCAAGCCTATACCTTTATCTTTTGTTATTTCTGGAAAATTCTAGAAGGGTTGAGCTATGTGAAAGCAGTGATCAATTTAAGTTAAATTGCATTCTTGTCGTGAATAATTTACCTTTTCGCACTATTCTAAGTATACTTTACTTTCCAGTTATTTCCAGTGCTTCCTAGTAGATGAATTCTATATTCTTGAATATCAAACTTAGTCATGTAACTCCCTCAGGATAATAAGCTATGAGAGAATACAGTGGTATGCCAATGCAAATTTTCTATGAGCATTATTGCATGCATCCTCTAATTCTCTGTAAATGAGGTGTGAATTTCAAATTTCATAATGAATTGGGCAAATAATTTATAGTAGTTAAAAACTGTCCAATAATATGGCAGGTAATTTGGTCAAAGATATTTATTTATCCTTTCATTCAATTATAATTTATTAAGAGCTTACAATGGAGCAGGTTCTTTGGCAGGAATTGAGGACACAGTGTGAGCACTTAACATCCTTATAAAACCAAAACAGAGATTAGGTTTTCTAACAAGATTGCACGCTGCGTCTTCAGAGCTACTGTCTTTACTTGTCAGGCTGTCTCAGTCTACAGGATGTTGATAACAGAGAAAATAATGTGTTTGATAATAACAAAATAGGGGAAACAAATAATCAAGATGTGACAACAAGGTCCTGGCGTTTGCTTTGCTTGCTGACATGCTTAAACCATAGAATGTTAGTTATGCCAATTGGTAATTACCTTAAAAATAAAGTATGTATTTAATAGAATGGAAAGAGAATAGATGGGATGGAAATGTAATCTCAGACCAAGGATAAAATTAGCTCTTAAAACACAGAGAAATTAATTAAAAACTAGCAAGAAATGTAAATAAAATACAAAGTAAATACAATAATAATAACAAACAAATAGAAGTACAACTGTGTAGACTTTTTATCATCCTTTTTATTCTATCATAGAAAGATATAAAAATTCAACTTTGAGAAAGAATTGTTTCATAACAAACCAATACAAAAAACTTGTTAATCAATACAACCTCAAACCTTTCTTGGTAGATATGTATGTCTCATATTATGAAATGACACTCAGTAAATATGCATAATTATGTGTATTTCAAAGCACAGAAATAATATTTTTGTGAAAAATACAAGAATATAGAATGCTTCAAAAATAAAGTTACCCTAACATCTTTTCTCTGATAGATAGGATTTTACTATTTAAGACTTTGAACACATAATCCTCCTGCTTAAGGCTCCCAGAGTTAGAATTCTAGGCCTGGACCACTGCAATCAATGTACTAACACAATTATCTGCTGCTAAACACTGCAATGACAAACCCAGCTAAGATGCTAAATCACAGGCAGTGTCAAAAATGGAAGAATTTAGGTATAGCTACATATATAATCCCTCTTGATGAATTTGTTTGAAGACAAAAACCCAATGGTAACCCTTTTTAACAACTACTTTCAGATAATAAAATTATAATGAAAAATCAGCATACTATAAAAAAGGAAAGGGAAAACAAAAAGAAATGAGCACAAGCAAG